TGACGAAGGTAGAGAAGATTATAGGATTAAGGAAGCTGCTATTTCTCACAGGGTAAGTATTTGAACAGCTTGGAGGATATGCTCCAGGGTTGGCTGTCCCCTCTGCCTCCTACAGTCTTGAACACTTTCACACCTGTTACTGTCGATAAACAAGTGTCTCAATCTCTGCAACCAACAAGATTTCCACAGAGCAATCCAGCTTCGACTTAGACTAATGTAAGAGCTAGGCTGTGGGTCCCTATCATTTTTTTTTTTAAATAAGAGCCATGTGAAAAAAAATGGTTCCCCACAGAATCGCTCCCATGTGAATGGCACAAAATAACCAGGCACCAATTATGCAGGAACGAGTTGAAATCCTATCTTGGAACTGAAATGGATACTCCAATTCCTCAGAGAACAAAGTCCAGGAGCAACAGCGAATTTACTCAGTACATTATACTCCTCTCTTTGACACTGACCACTTCTGTCACTGAATAGAACCTGTCCTTGTCTTATCTGTGAGTTCTGTCGATGAATAGAACCTGTCCTGACTGTGAGTTACCGAGAAACAGGGCTTTCATTTCTTGTCAAACAAGTCTTTGCTGAATGGCTGCTGTGTGTCAAGATTGAATCCAGGGGCTGGAAACATGCTTTAGTGCTTAAGAGTACCAACTGCTCTTAATTGAACTCAGGTTTACTTCCCAACATCTAAATAAAAGTTCATAACTGTCTACAATGCCAGATCCAGAGGAGATCTGAACCCCTCTTTTGACCTCTGCAGGCACTATACATACATGGTACACAGACACACATGCAGTAAAAACATTAAGAAACACATAAAGTAAAAATACATCTCAAAAAAGTTTTTAAAAAGTGAGTTCAAGCCAGGTGATGGTGGCACACACCTTTAATGCCAGCAGAGGCAGGTAGATCTCTGTGAGTTTGAGGCCAGCCTGGTCTACATAGTGAGTTCCAGGACGGCTACAGAGAAATATCATCTTGAAAAAAAAAAAAGTGAGTCCAAGAAACTAAACTAAACACACACACACACACACACACACACACACACACACACACACACACACACACACCACAATACCGAGGCTGTCAATTAGATACTTTTTCCCCCAGCTCATCACTATCTTCATTTTCCTGACCTCACTGTTCAAAGTAGAGATTCTCAAGTATTAAAATATGGAAAATTTGACAACTATTTTCTAGGAAGTTCACTTTCTTTACCAGGTTCTTCAAAGAGGCAGAATCCAAGCCAAAATAAATAAATAAATAAATAAATAAATAATAAAAAACAAAGTGCCATTACCCATTACCCAGGCAGAGTCTACAACATCTGTTTTACTTTGGAGGGAACTACTAAGGCTTTTCTAGAAGCCCTTCCCAGGATTACATTAGCAATCCTCACTTTTAGGACATCTCTCCTTCTGTCCCTTCTGAAAAGTCCCCCTAAACTTTTGAACCTTCTTTGATTTCATCTTCTATTATTATCAATCCGAGCACAAAATAGTCATTGTCTGAAATATGTTCCCAACTGGCTTACCAAGATTTGTGGCCGCTTTATCCAAGTCAGTGTATACAGCACAGACTTGGGATAAGCTGTGAGCAAGGAACCAGTTTGAGGGGACTGACATTCCTAGACAATGGCATGTGGCAAATGAGGGTAATGGAAGAACTTCCTTCCTAAATGTTAAAGTCTCTGGATCTGTAATTCCTCACTTCTCATGGAAGCTGGAAGGAGAAATCAGAACCCATGCTTCAGAGCTAAAAGAGGCAGCCCCGAAAACTGCCAGAAACTCTTGAGATATGGGAATAAGGGGCTCCATGAGCCCAAGGTCAGCCTGGACTTTATAGGGAGAACCTGGCTCAAAATTCCAACAGACTACACAGGGAAGAGAGGCACGCTCATTTTTTAAGCATCTTATCATCTTCAGAGGTTAAGCAGCCAAATAACCATACTGTCTTGAGAATGGGGCCTCTGTCCGGCTGGCTCGTCTCCACTCACATTGGCTGTACCTCTTGCTACATTCTTTCTCCCATTCTGGACTCTGGCTGCCTTCCCCAGTTTGAAGCCTTCTGCAACATTTCTGGTAAAGCGCACTGCTCATCGACCAGTCCCCTTGTCCTCAGGGATGTATTAAGTATCAGATGAAAACACTACAAAATTGGACAAGTGATAATTTAGTTTGACAATAATATCTGTTGATTAGAGCAAGGCCATTTTTTGCTCTCAATCATTGGAAATGAAGAGGAGGGAAGAGAGGAGCTCAGTGGAGCTTACTTGATTTGGGGCAGCCTGGGAACAGCATGCGACCCATAGCTACACTGGCTCGAGAATACAGAAAGCGTCGCAAGCCTGCGGTATGACCGCTATGCATATCATAGTCGTTATGATGAGCTCATCAAGAGCTTCTCTCTTGATGTTTTCCCAAGGTGGGTTGTACTCACTCCAGCTACTACCAAACAAAAGATCTTCATAAACATAATGGGTTTATGACAGGATCAGTGTGTGAACATGAGAGTTCTGTGACTCAAACCTTATTTAGCATTAGCCCATCTGGGAACATGTACTGATGCTTTGCAATCTTACTCAGGTAAAATATAGAAGACGGGTCTTTTCTATGTAGGACTTAATAACACCCTCCGCTCTAGATATTATCTGGAATGCCCCCCAACCCAGGCCCCAGGCCTATGATTTAAAGTCTTGGTGTTCTCAGCTTGGTGTTCGTGGGAAACAGTAAAACTTTTAAGAAGATTAGTTGGGTTACTGGGGACTGATAATACCAGGAGGAAGTAGAGAGTATAGGGCAAAGCCGTGCTTTTTAGATGAACACTCCTTGAGCTCTACTTTAAAAAAAATAATCAAAGGACTCTAAACTGTATTATTCAAATGTGGAAGAATTCAACTCACTGCTAGTACTTGTTTGTTTACTACCTTAGCATGGCCAGAACCAGGAGGGAGATAAAACTCTTGAGCACTTGGTGGTTGATTGTTCTGTTCTCACCCACACAGTAAAGACACACCTGGATCCAAGTAACTAGGGGAGGGGGGCTTTTTTATGAACACTCTGGAGAAGGAATTCTGATGAAAAGTCTTCAATTTCTCTACTGTAATTAGCCATCAATCATCCTTAGGCACTTGCCATCTTGTAGAGAAAAGCTCATTGATCCAATTGCATGAAGCATTATCTATAATTAAGCAGACCTCCCAACATCCCCCACCATATTTTATTTTGCATCAAACCATGGTCACTCACTAGTGTAAACTGCCTACACTATGCTTCCAGTTCATGTAAATGTGTAAATTGGGGTCATTTATGACAAAGACAGATATACTTTTATTTCATTTTTAGATGAAATTTACTTTCTAAAAAAGCTATGGGGGGCCAATTTCAAAATCTTTGGGTGCTTTTGTCATTTGAGTAAAATTTTATTTCAAAAGCACTTTGTGACTTGGATTGCCTAAGGAAAATTATCTTTTCAAATGGCCAATGTGTTGTAAAAAGGGGAAGATCAATATAACCATCCCTTTGCACAAAAGGTACATGCTGTATGTAATCTTATTTACCCAAGCATCCCTATGCCAAAACTGATGTTGTTGGATAAAATGCATTTGAATTTCAGATAAGCAATAGATAAATTTTATGGGAAGTATTTACGGTTGAAAATTATTCAGTGCCTCAAGTCCAAATGGATCAAAGACCTCAACATCAATCCAGCCACACTGAACCTCTTAGAAGAGAAAGTGGGAGGTACCCTTGAACAAATTGGTGTAGGAGACAGCTTCATGAATATAAATCTAGTAGCACAGACACCGAGAGCAACAATTAATAAATGGGACCTCTTCAAACTTAGAAGATTCTATAAGGCAAAGGACACAGTGGACAAGACCAAACGGCAGCCCACTGACTGGGAAAAGATTTTCACCAATCCTATATCCGACAAAGGGCTGATCTCCAAAATACACAAAGAACTCAAGAAACTAGTCAAATAATCCTATTAAAAAATGGGGTACAGAACTGAAGAAAGAATTCTTAATAGAGGAAATCAAAAAGGCTGAAAGACATTTAAGAAAATGCTCCACATCCTTAGCTATCAGGGAAATGCAAATCAAAACAACTTTGAGATACCATCTTACTCCTGCTAGAATGGCTAAAATTAGAAACACCAATGATAATTCATGCTGGAGAGGATGGGGAGAAAGGGGAACACTCCTCCACTGCTGGTGGGAGTGCAAACTCGTACAGCCATTTTGGAGATCAGTATGGCGGTTCCTCAGGAAAATGGGAATTAGTTTACCACAGGACCCGGCAATCACCCTCTTAGGCATATACCCAAATGATCCACATCCATGCAACAAAGCCACCTGTTCAACTATGTTCATAGCAGCACTATTTGTAATAGCAAGAACCTGGAAGCAACCTAGATGCCCCTCAATTGAACAATGGATAATGAAGATGTGGCACATCTACACAATGGAATACTACTCTGCAGAAAAAAATAATGGTATCTTGAAATTCGCAGGCAAGTGGATGGCACTTGAAGAAACCATCCTGAATGAGGTAACCCAGTCACAAAAAGAGGAACATAGTATGTACTCATTCATATATGGATTTTACACCTACAGCAAAGGATCACCAGCCTGTAATTCACACCACCAGAGGAACTAGGATACAAGGTGTATTCTAAGAGATTAATATAAAGTCCCTCACAGAACTGGTAAGGGACAAGTCCCCCCCCCCAGAGCACAGGGGAAGTGGGGGGGGGCAGCGAATGGAGAGAGAAGTAGAAAAAAGCGAGGGGAGGAAAGCAAAACATGTGTGACTAGGAAGATTGAGCCCTGTTAGGAATAAAAGACAGGAGAGAGAGAGAGAGAGAGAGAGAGAGAGAGAGAGAGAGAGAGAGAGAGAGAGAGAGAACATAAAAGAGGGAACCAATATTGGTTTGAAGATAAAATTGAACACAAAGGAAGGTCTAGAGAACTACAAAACTGCCGCCAACTAACAATTTGAGCATCCGTGGAAAGGCTACCATAAATGCCCTTCCCGGATAGTGAGATCAACAACTAACTTATCCATGGAGCACTCATCTAATACTTGTTGGAAACAGGAGCAAACACCCATGCATAAACACTGAGTCGAACTAGAACCCAGATGCAGATGGAGAGGACAAGACCAGGCTGCAGAAACACACAGAGACAGCTGACCTGAACAAGGAGGAGCTAACGGCCCCAGAATGATAGCTGGGAATCAAGCATGGGACTGACTCAGACCCCCCTGAATATGAGTCTCAGCCAGAAGGTCTGAGCAGTCTAAGGGACCTCAGACAGTGGAGCCAGGATGTATCCCTGGTGCACAAAAGGACCTTGCGAACACATCCCCCATGGAGGGATAACTGCCTTAATCTAGAGACAGGAGAGAAGCCCTAGTCCCTACTTCACATGATCTGTCAGATCTGCATGACCCCAACTGGATGGCATTCCCCTACATATGGAATTGTGGTGGCGGGATGGGAGGGGAGGGTGGTTCCGGTGCATGTGAGAGGGCAGAGAGGGTAAAAGGGAGAGAGGGAGGGAGGGGGGACGGGGATCAACATGTAAAATAATAAATTAAATTTAAAAAAGGAAAAAAAGTGCTTATTCAGTGCTTATCTATAATTTGAATTAAACTGACACCATGTATTTTAATTTGCTATATCTGGAAACTCTGATCAAAGAAAAGAACTGGGTCTCTGGCCACCTCTACCACCCCCTCCACCCCCCACCCCTAAACCCCTATCATCTCCATCCCAACTCTTAGATAAATTCTAGCTTCAACGTATACAGGAGTAATGGCCAATTTTGAAAAGCAAAATTTGAGTCAAAGTAGAAAAAGATGATTACCGGAAATAGGAAATTTGGGTAACTTTGATAAAATATAAATATGTAAACTCACCTCTAAACATAATTTTTCTAAGATTCCTGCCACAATGAAACTTTGTATTCCTGACACATAGAATGGTGCTTAAGTCAGAAGAATGCCAAGTATCTGAAATTAATGTGACCGTGGTTAGACTTTATTGTGGTATTTATTCTAATGTTATGTGATGGCTTATTTATCTAATTTATATTCTCTCTCTCCTTTCCTCCCTCCCTCCCTCTCTCTCTCTCTCTCTCTCTCTCTCTCTCTCTCTCTCTCTCTCATTCTGTCTAGTTACCTAAACAAGAATAAATTCCTGACAGCTATTGACAAAGATGCCTTTGGAGGAGTGTACAGTGGACCAACCTTGCTGTGAGTAAGACAAATGAATGGCTAGCAGGGTTTTTTTTTTAATTATTTTTCTCTTTTACTTTTTCTGGAATGAAAGAGGTATGAAGAGAGGAGATGCAAACTGTCTTAGTTAGGATTTCTATTGCTGTGAAGAGACACTATGACCACAAGAACTATTATAAAGGAAAACATTTTATTGGAAGCTGGCTTACAGTTCAGAGTTTGAGTCCATTATCATTATAGAGGTAAGCATGGTGGAATACAGGCAGACATGGTGTTGAAGAGTTCTATATCTGTATCTGAGAGCAGCAGGGAGAGAGAGGGGAGGAGAGAGAGAAAGAAACTGGGCCAGGCTTAAGCATCTGAAACCCTGAAAACCCAACCCCCCCAGTGACAAGCCCTCTGGCAAGGCCACACCCTAATAGTGCCACTCCCTGTGAGCCTGTGGGTGTCTATAGGTGTAGTTGGGTTTTGTTGTTTTTTAAACCTTTGCTCTTTGGGGGCCTTCCACCCAGCTCCCAAATAAGTACATGGTAACTTATTCTTACTTATGAGTACCCAGCCTTAGCTTGGTTTGTTTCTGGTTAGCTTTTCTAACTTAAATTATTCTGTTTCTCTTTAACTACATTTTGCCTCAAGGCTTTTTACCTTTCTTGATTCTGTATATCTTTCTCCCGTCTTACTCCATGGCTGGCTGTGTGACTGGGTGACTGGACCCTGGAGCCCTCCTCTCTTTCTCCTCTTCCTTTTTTCACTCCTCTCTTGAGCCTAGATTTCTCCTCCTATTTATTCTCTACCTGCCAGCCCTGCCTACCCCTCTCTATCTACCTATTGGCTGCTCAGCTCTTTATTAGACCACTCAGGTGTTTTAAACAGACAAAGTAACAACACTTTCCAGAGTTAAACAAATGCAACATAAAAGAATGCAACACATCTTTGCATCATTAAACAAATATTCTACAACAAAAACAACATAAACAAATATAACCATCTTAAGCTAATATTCCACAACCTAGAGGGCCCATTCTCATTCAGACCACCACACCAACATTCAAGACAAGAGAAAGCTGTTATCTTGGGTTATAGCTTCTGCCACTAAAGATCCACCAGACAATTCATTAGAAAATAGAAAAAATTTTAAAATAGAGAAAAATGTACAAAACAGAAAAAAATTAAAATAAATATATTAACACATATACAGATGACCATGAAAACTGGTAGACAATAGTCATGTCCCAAGAGGAGAGTGGATGATTGGCAGTCCTGAGCACCTGAAACCTCCACTCTTTCACCTCCAATAATTTTATTTCACCTTGGGAGTGAATGCACCCTGCCCGTTAAGCAGGTTGGTGGTCCAATTTTCTTAAAATCTGCTGGACTCTAAGGGAGTTTCTCCTAACTCACAGTGAAGTATCGATGGGAGAATGTGCAAGAGACAACAGTTATAATCATGAATTCATACCAGTTATGGCTGACTATGCTGAATCTGCACCACAGTGACCCATCAGCGGCCAGGGAGGGGCTCAGGGGCTCAGCCCTCACAGCTAAAAACAGGTTAGGGGTAGATTCCAAAGGACAGGGAATTACTTACTTCAGCTTTCTGGGCACCAGTGAGCACAGTATATTCCAGTGGGTATCTCCACTGGAGACCATGTAGATACTACATGACCATGTAGACAACCCTGGTAAAGGACAGCATGTCACAAAATCAATAGGAGAGGAGGTTGGGATGGATGGGAGGGAATAAAGGAGAATAAATAGGATGCATTATATTCATGTATGACCTTGTCTTGGAATTGGCTTAATAAAAAAAAAAAAAAAATGAGGAACCGTGCTGGTTTAGTTTGGGAGGTGTTTCATAGAACTTTGGAGCACACAGGGAATTAGAAAGAGGTCCATTTAAACCAAGATATGCAAATAAGAAAGAGATGAAGACAGAAACAGCTCATTACAAAACAAAAAGCTATAGTTGGAGAACAATGAAATTTTAAACCACAGAGTAATAGCCCAAATCCTAGATATGGCTTTGATGATAGATATGGCATATGAGGAGGGGGAGGGGTAGGGGTAAAGGTTAAGGAAAAAGTGCTACATTCATGTTCTATAGACGAAAGCCAGCCAATGAATTCTAAAACATTTCATGGAGAAATGTCGACAGTTATGGAAGGAAACAGCCAAAGTTGAAAATGATTGATTGACTTGGAGATGGAGATTAGAGAGAAATCTGATGTTCAGGCCACCAAGTTTCCAGCGTTTTCATTTTCTTCTCAGGAAAGGGAGCACTGGAGAGATATTTCTGGAGTTAGGAATGCTTGCTGCGCAAGCATGGGAACCAGGCGTCAGACCACAACCCCCGTATAACTACTATAAGCAACGACACAGAAAAGGAATCACCAAGATGCCCGCTCCATGATTTGATGGGAAGGTTTTTATTGTAGCTGTGAGAGAGAGGACGTTCAGAGGCATCTGCAAGAGTCCAGAGCAGAGAGGAAAAGAAGCAGAATGGACAGGGCCAAGGCTGTCTGTGAGAGAAGTAAGAACAGCAGAGAACAGCAAGAGAGAGAATGGGGGAGCGAGGGGGAACGCTATTTTAAAGAGAGCAGGACGTGAGCTATAATCTAGAAGAGATAGTTTAGTGGAGAAGGAGAGGGAGAGATGAGAAGGTCAGGAGGCCAGCAGAGGCTTTAAGGTGTGTAACAAGTACAAGTGAGTAAGACGGGAGGAGTTTGGACATTGGCATTGGCTTTAGTATGTGTCAATGGGGACCAAGATGCCCATCTATCAGAGGAAGGAGATATAGGGAAGTGGCTCTTCCTGGCAGACAGAAACCCATTTCACAGGTTCCTGAGGAACACTGAGAGTATCCCCCAGCAATCCTGTAGGTCAATGTGGTCTGAGCCGAGACCTCCATTTCTAGAGGTCTGGGCTGCCCTTTGGAGCTTGAGACCTAACAATAACCAGCCAAGTGTGATTCCATGCAGGCCTGTAAAGCAACATTGAAGGAGGTAAGGCTAAGAGGGTCACTGCACCTTACCAGTTTTCAGTCTAGATGAAAACAAACCAACAAACCTGTAAGCTCCAGATTCTGGGAGAGACCCTGCCTCAAAAGAACAAGGCAGAGAGTGAAAGAGAAGACACCTGAAGCCATCCTCTAGTCTCTTGGAATACAGATCTACATGCACTCATATACACCACACATAGATAAACACACATGCATCCACGTAAACTGTACTTACACAAATACATACCCACATAAATACATACATAAATAAAAAATAAATGAGGGGTAGAGAGATAACTCAGCAGTTAAGAGCACCTGTTGTTAGGACCTAAGTTCAATTACCAAGCACCCATCTATCTGGTGGTGGTTCAAGACAATTTATAACTCCACTTCCAGGGGAGTTATAACTTCTGAGGGTACCTGGCACACATATGGTACCCTCATGCATACATGCAGCCAAAACACCCACACAAACAAAATAAATAATTATTAAACAAGTTTTAAAGAAATAGTACTGAATGAAAATATGGAGTAAAAGGAGAAGTATTGTGGAATCAACTTTTTATACACTGTGAAGATTTATCACTCAGACTTGTTTACTAAAAAGCTGAACGGCCAATAGCTAGTCAGGACTGGGGGAACAAAGAAGATGCTGGGAAGAAGGGTGGAGATGTGTAGAGACCAGCCAAATGGAGAGGAAGCAACCTGGGCAACACAGAGTAAAGGTAATAAAGTCACGAGACAAAAAGTAGATTGACAGACATGGGTTAATTTAAGTTAGGAGAGCTAGTTAGAAACTTTCATGATTAATAATACATTTTTATGTTGTGATTTGGGAGTTGGCAAGTGGGACAGAGAAAGACTAACTACAAAGCAGATATAAGGGAGAAAGCAGGCAGAGGGAAGAGTCCAGGCTGAACATGGTCAGCAGACTAAACCAGACCACGAGAGGAGAGACAGGGAGGAAGCACTAGAGAGGAGCCACCAACCAAGAGAGGTGGCCTGGGCCAAGACAGCAGAGTAGTCAAAATAGCTGAGTTATTTAGCTATCAGGCTGAAGTCAGGAAGCAGAAGCCCACCCCCTGGGAAGGAGAGATTTGGGGTAGGAGGCAGAGGGTGAGGCAAGCTGGCAGAAGCCAAAGGTACCAAGTGAGACTTTCCTGGGTTTGAGACCTAACAAATACCATGCATTCAATTAACAGAAATTTTTATTGAATCAAATAAAATGTTAGAAGAAAGTGAATGAAGAAGTGTCAGCACTGGAAGGTTCGGTAAGAGCAAAAACAAGAAATGAACACTATCATTCTCAAACACCAAGCGCAGACATTCTCTTACAATTGTGTATGCATGACCTGGGATGTCTCTTTAAACCTGCATCAAAACCTTCACTTTCTTTCGCACAATCTACCCCTAATTAGACTTAAAGGTCCTTTTACCACGGGGAAAGACTGCTTCACAGTTTTATAATGCCCTCACCAAAACAGAAACTAGCCAATAGCCAATGACTATCAGATACATTGGAGTGTCAAATAGCTGTGACGCAGTGGCCCCTGTTTGGTGTACATGCCAAACTTGAAAACTTCAAAGTGCCACCTAAAGAAAAGGGAATTGTGTGTTGTGTATTTTTCTGCTTCATGAAGTGTCTTGGTAAAAGAGTAGCCATCCCCACAGTCAACAAAAATCATTAAACCTGCCTACACATTGCCTTTTTTTTTTTCAGGGTCACTTCTCCAAGAAGAATCTGATTTCTATCAGACGCAAATCTGAGATACCATCTATTCTGCAGTCCTTGCTATTTTCTTTTTCGAAGGCCTTTTAATTTAGGTTGGGAATTTAATAACATTTTTATTGACTGATTTTGTCACAGAGACAGTCAATCTCCCTTTCCATTTTTACACTTTCTATTTTTTGAAAGCCTTGTTTCCTTCCCACTTTGTATTGAAAGAGAAGCTCTTTGTGTTTATAATAGGGAAGAAAACAACACGGTGAAATGCAAAGCTTTCCATAGCCATTGGGGCTC